TAGCCAACATCACTAAAATGATTGTTAAATAACTAGAAATAAACATTTTTAAATTGACCATATTTTATCATAAGAAACTATACTGAAGTGTCTTTAGAGTGGATCCACAAAATAGTTTCTTTCACCTGAATCTTCTTCCTGATTAGGAATTCTATTGGGTTTATCTTCTTTCATAAATAAATATATATATATATATATATCAAAGTAATAATTTCAACCGCAACGGTCATAATACTAAAATAAATATTGAAATAATAATTAAACAATTATCACTAACACTAAACATTAATAACAATGAATATATATATATATATATATATCTAATAATTACAAAAAGAAATAAATATTAATTGAGTAATTGAGATAAATTCATGGAGGCAATGCATGATTTCAACAACTATTGCTAATACTGAAATATATTAATGTGTGCATATACATATATAAACTTGAAAAAATGACAATAAAATTCCTCTGAATTATATAAATAACAATCTCGTTCTTCGAAACGCTATAATTTCATTAAAGTTTCTAGAAATTTTTTTGTCATTAATGAATTAATGCAAATGATCAAATTGCCCTTGATTCAAATTGACAGACTGCTCTTGATATACAAACTTATAATTTGCTATTACTTTTGATTTTAAGAAGAAAAGTTATAATTTTTTAAACAAAACTTATGACAAAGTCAAGGGTAATTTAGTCACTTATATTAATTTACTAATGATAGAAAAATTTATAGGGATTTCATTAGCATTATGGCATTTCAAGAGACTAAATTGTCATTTATATAATTCAAAGAGATTTTATTGTTATTTTCCCTACAAACTTTTAACCATTCTAGAAGAAAATAAATACTAATTATTTATCTAAGGGCATAACTAATAGAAAGAAATTTCAGCAGACAATGCATGATATATATAATAGTAAATAAGCAATTATTAATAACAATACAGCAATTATAGAAATAAATAAATATGACTTGTTATTCTAAATGAGTAAATCAATAATTATCACTTAAAATTAAAACCACATGTACATGTAACAAACAATTATAGAAAGAAAGAAATGTGAATTATTAATTTTAAATGCATAACTATAGGTAAATAAATAATCATGTCTATCAATTATAGAAAGGATACAAATTAACTATAAAAAATATAATATAGAAAACATAAATTACAACTAAAACTTTTAATATGTGAGTAAGGTGGGCGTGTGTAATTTACCCCCTCTCTTCTCATGCTCCTTTCCTCTCACTACTCCAAGGCGTAAAAAAGAATCAAAATTATATTTTATTTAGTTGTATAACTAAAATACATATAAGAACATCAAGATAATTAATAACACATATTTAAAAAAATTTTAATAGAGGCTAAACAATAGTATTGGTTAAAAAAGTAAACATATTATTTCAATATAATTAAAAGATAGGAAAAAATTTAAATAAAAATTTTATTGTATTCCTCCCTTTCTCTTCCTAAGCCTCTTTTTCCCTGATTTTTTTCACACCCTCTCAGTAATTCTTTTTTTTTTTTTTTCACCGCCTGACTAATTGATCATCTAACTATTAAAAGATAAGTGGTCAGCAATTTATTACGTCACTTTCCACTATTGATTCATCCTATATTATAATAATACTTTTTTCACCATAAATTCATCCCTATCCCATATTTTTCTTATTTATTTATTATTTTATATCAATGATTTCTTACTTTACATGCAGCAAGCTTTACTTCTCCTCTTTCCTCCAAAGTTTAACCTTTTTCTCTCTCTCTCTCTCATGTAGTTTTAAATATAAAAAAAAGTGGCTAAGTATAGCTTTATTATTGAAAAAATAGCTAAGGTGTGAAGCTGCAAATAATTATAATTTACAGAAAGAATTATAATACATAAATTTATTACATTGGTATATGCAACACAATCTTTTTGCAGCTATATTGTAGGTACTCACACACAAAAAATATATATATATATATATATACACTACAATAAATATATCACTACTATATTATATTTATATAACAATAATAACTTATTATAGAGTAGATGTGAATGCTCGCAATTGTTTTTGCCAAAACACGGGAATTAAATACTTGGCATTTCGGTCAATATTATGCAAAATACAAGGAAACATGTGAATTTTTCAAAATTCTAAGACAATATATATATATATATATATATTTCTAGAGAGTGTTACGGAGCAAGGAGATCTCATATTAGTAAATTGAAGGTTAAAGTCTTTGTAATCTTGCCAAACATTAATTGAGAGAAGGAAGAGTGAGGAAGAAGAAGAAGGAAGGAGAGAAAGAAAAGTAATGGAGAAGAAGAGATCGGGGTTGGAAATTAGTTGATTTTAAGAGGGGCAATTAAGTCATTTCATTAAAAAACATAATTATAAATGGAACCTTTGGGCCTTCATAGTACTATCGGATTTATTAGAAAATTTGTAAGGGGAATCACATTAAGAGCCTTGAAAACAGAAAAAATTGCATTCTAGGCCCCAAACATTCTAAACATGTACCGTAGGCCTAAAAACTCTTATTGCAATTTTTATTGGACACAAAAGTACAATTCTGCCCTTAATCAGCTTAACACGCATAGACATTTAGTTGAGAATTCATGAACACTAAACATTGTCTTATGTATTGTCTGTGTAACTTATATATTTTATTAAATCTATTAATCAACTGAACATACATAGACATTATATTGAGAATTTATGAACATTGTGTTAATAATTCATGAACATCATATTGTGCACCTATGGATATTGTGTTATACATGCTCTGTGTGACTATTTTAATTGTATTAAGAATTCATAAATATCATCTTGTGTATCTATGTACATTGTGTTATACATGTTTTGTGTGACTTATATTTTAATTAACTTATAAATCAAATGGATACGCATGGATAATTGTGTTGATAATTCACAAACATTATATTGTGTTTCTTGGATGAGGATTTGGGGTAGGTTTTGAGCTTTCAAATTACATGAAAACAAAATTATACTTTTGCGTTTTAAAAAAATTGCAATAAGGGTCCCTGGGTCTGCGACATAATTTTTTTTTTTTTTGTTTTTTTGTTTTCAGTATCCTTAATGCGGTTCTCCCAATTTTTTATAATCTTAAATGTATTTTGTTGCCTCCAGGCTCTGCCCTCCCCGTGATTCACGTAAGCCGCACTTTTTTTTTTTTTTTTTCCTGAAATGAAGTCAAATAAACATTAAAAGTAAAATGGGTACAAGTAAAAGGACATTCACACAAGCTTCGCAGTTGTAACTATGACTACACTTGCAAAAATACTGTTTTAAGGAAAAATTATATCTAAGTTTCATAGAGCAAATTTATTTATTAATAAATCTTGAAAAATTTAAAAGCCACAACTTGATCTTTTGAGACTTGAGTGCAATTTTAAATTAGGATAAAAAGACAATAATATTTCTATTAAATGTGTATATATTATTTTAATCAAATAATTTACAACAATTTTAATAGTAATTTACAACTATACCTTCAGCTTTTTACAACTTTAACTTCACATATTCAATAATTAAATATTTAACTATTGAATATGTGAAGTTATAATTGTAAAAAACTGAATAAATTACTAATGAAGTAATTGTAAGCAATTAATGTTGAATTTCATTAGCAACCCATGATTGTTTAACTATTATATATGTGAAGTTATGATTGTAAAAAATTAAAATTTTAGTTTCAAATTACTGATGAAATAATTGCAAATTAATTATTTGATTAATGTAGTGTATATTTAATAAGGGCATTATTGTTTTTGTAACTTAATTTTAAATTATACTCAAATCCTAAGAGACTTCATTGTAGTTTTCAAATCTCACGGAACTTATTCATAAATAAGCCTACTTTATAGAACTTATACGTGATTCCCCCTTGTTTTAATCAAAACATTGGCTAGGCCATAGATTTTTACGATAACATGATGGTTGAAGAATTTCAGCTAGACTAGGTTATTTATGCCACATTGATCAATGGGCTATGTAAATTGGAAAAAAAAACAAGATCTGCCACGCAATAGACGGGGAAAAAAGTTAATCAAACCTAATGCAGTTGCCTACAACACAATGTCTGATGCACTTTGTAAAGATAAATAGGTCATTGTGGCTTTGTGTTACGAGATGATTGGGCATAGGATGTCTCCAAATTTTGTTACTTACAGTAGTCGAATCCATGGTTTTTGTAGCATGAATAAGTGGCAAGAGGCAAATCAAGTACTCACTTAAATGATATCGAAAGACGTCCATCCAAATGTTTATTACCTTTAACATCCTATTTGATGCATTATGTAAAGAATGAAAGATCATAGAAGCTCAAGCTGTGATTGTTAAGATGATAAAGGCATTTATGGAGGAAAAAATGATATAAAATCATTTGAGATTGTTTGAACAGCATCAAAAAAGCTGTGGAAGACACCCATAAGAAAAATGAACTGAACAATATTGAATCATATAAAAAAAAATAGAAAAGATCAAAGAAAACACTAACAAAAATTATTGAACTTGAACGAAAACTCTTAATTAACAATTTTCTTAAAAACTTAGTTAATGATATATCACAGTAACCTCATGCAATTTATGCAGCCAACACTAGAGTAAAATAAGGTTTCTTCTTGTTGTTTCATTCTTGATAAAGTGGGCTTCAAACTATAATCTCTACAATTATCTACGAATTGCCTGTGACTTACCATAAAGGAAAAATCACACACTACAATTTCAATTTCCCTCATTACCCCCCTTTTCCCTCCATTTGACAAATTAATATTTACTGATAGAACCCTTTTTTCTAATGTAGCATTTAATTCTCTATCGTTATCCTCCCAAAATTACAATCCGCTCTACTCTCCTTACAATTTGGATTAAGATAATGCATAATCACAACCCACTCTAATATTTGGTATGGGGTACTGAATTTTTTAATAAACAATTATTAAAAAGTCAGTATTACCCAATCCTACCTCACCAATCCTTCGTAACAAAAATGAGCATAGGATATCACATTGCACATATTCGTGCTTGTTTTTACACAAGTGGCTAAAAGAAAATAAGAATAGCCTGCTAATGTATCTCTCTTCATTTTTACACTGACATAAAATCCCAAAAATATAGTGGCGCACATTTGCGTTAGAAAAGCAAGAGACTTGCCAAAAGGAAACAAGTTAATGTACTTAGAGAGGTTATGCTAGAATTAGAAGCATCATCAATGGAATGGAAATAAGAATTCGTGGCAGGCAAAATTTACAATCTAAGAATCTTTTTCCTACACATAATTTACAATTTGTACAGACTAATTCATGGAGGAGGCCCATCTTTCCATCTGTAGGGTGCACTTGGTTCCAGAAAATAAGATACTAAAGATTTGCCAGGCACAACACCAGACATTCCCATTACCGTAATAATGGTCTCCATTATACCAATCACCACTTTTGTAAATTAGCCAAGATAAAGCTGAATTCGTCTTTGAGATATATCAAGGGACTCTCGTATAAGGAAACACAAGAAATGTCAACTTCATGTATTGGTAATGTCAGCCTTAAAACTACGAAAGCCTGATGTCATAGTTTGCCATGATGAAGCCAAACCTGAAGATGACACCCTAGAGGTATTAACGGAGTAAGTATTGTCGGCATCGAGTAATGGAACCGTAGTGGAGGCTATATTGTTGTCTTCTAGCCTTAATCTAAATGCTTGTCCATACTTCTCTCTGACAGTAGCATACTTGTTGCTGATGGCTTCCTTGTTCAAACTATATTTTCTTGTCTCATCCTTCCTAGTTCTGGATGGATTTCTATCCACTTCCTCGAGTATATTGGGAGCTAGTCTCATTTCTACACCATTCCTCTCCTGAACAACGTACAAATTATGAGTAAACTAAGCTCTGCACAAGACATGGCACAAAGTAGATTAAAAATGTGAAAAACTCCACACACCATGAGACTGTTGCCAGATTCAATATCGTAATTCCTTGTCAATGGAACAACTTGCTCGCCTACTTGGGGCCCATGTTTGAGTAAAAACCTCTCTGAAAATAAGAAAATCCAATAATCATGCACGAATCAATACCCCAAATTATTAGAACGTTCATTGATTCATATATGATGAAATTCTGACACGGTAATAACATAAACCCGAGTTAGCAAGCCTGAAAGGTGGTGGCTTGAATACCTTTTTGTAAGATAAGTAATCCTGTGGGATTAAAACCATCCGTGTCTTCAGCTTCAGTTCCAAAAACATATCTCTTCCAGCTCCCCAGAAAATCAAATACTCGATTGAAGAAGTTGCTCGCAACCAAAAGGGTATATATAACCATTATAAGCGGATAGATTTTGTTAAACCTATCCCCAAAGAAAGGCACAGCATTGTTGATATTCCCCATTTTCTGCAATCATAAGTCTCATGAAGTAACAAATATATATATATATATATATATAAACTTCTGATGCAAAACTTCAAATAGTGAACAGTTGTGTTCTCAGTTGATCAGCCAGGCATAACTAATGAATACAAATAGATCCGAGACAACAAAACCTTTCAAGGGTTACAAAATATTGAACGATCTTCTGCCTAACACAATAAGATAAAAAAGAGATGTATTAAGAACACAGAGAACGAGTTGGGTAATGCGTTTTGTGGCTTCGTACATCATGCAGAGCAAATGAAAATCTATTGAGGGAGTGAGTTGATTATATAGTCAAAAAAGAATAGAAAAAAATCTAAAAAATACATAGAATTACAAGGAATTATAGCCACTTCATTGAATCAGGAAAGGCAAATAACTTCTACAGATGTGAACCAAATAAAAAATACCTGTTCAAATACAGTGGCTTTATCAGAACCAAGGGAAATGAGATTGAGGAAGTTATATGAAACAGGGGGAGCGTACCGAGCAACCATCCTGGGAGCAAGTGAAGATAAAACATAAATATTATTCTCATGATAGCATCAGTGATTCAAAAAGCAGAAAGATCAACTTACGAGCATATTATAAGCAAGCTAACTGAGCTAGTCTGTCTGGGTGTCATCGAGTAGAACATCAACCTTCCAATTCTGAATAAGGAGTAGTATGTACAGATGCACATATACATGAGAGGAACAAATGAAAACACCTAAGCAGGAAAAAGAAGATAAATTAGTACATGCATTACTTCAAAGATATAACCAATAGTTTAAAACAGCTTCACCCCACTGCCCACAGGGTGTAGTTTAGAAAAGTGTAACAAGCTCCCCAGTTAAATATATGTATACTAATAACCTCAGTGGTTCATCAATTACAATAGAATTTATATTTGACAAGGTGGTGGCATGAAATTAAAAATTATATTTCATTAAAAAAATTAAAAATTCTAGCTGTACTTTTATTGATTCTGTATGGTGAGGGCAACAATGAGGTGCAATTCAAAAAGTAACTTACATTTGTTCAAATTGTAGTTAAACCAAACCATTTTATCCAATCAAATATACATTATATGAAATTTCAAGAGTAATTTGATTGAATTAATTTCAACAATAGGATGAAATTTCTACTGCTGAAGATACGTGGGGGAACCAGCCACCAATACTAGAAGAAATACACATGCAATTCACTAATACGCAGATAAATGCATATGATTCTAGTGATCTGCACATACCCACTTAAATATATCTAAATCAAAACATCTCCATGTCCACATTTAAAACACCACAGTTGTGCTTTGTAAGAGAGAAACCGGGAAGCAGGAAAATGGCATATTGTTAAGTTATATTATGTGTAAAGGATTCCACCTGCCTAATGAGACAAAGAAAGTTGGGTTCACCTGCACGAACACCTCCTCTGTTCCCACGGATTTTATAAGAAATGAGAAAAGAGATAGATCAACACTAGGTAGAAGAGTTGCCTCAGCTAAAAGAATTGCAACAGACAGGATACCAAGTGAAGCAGCCAATCCTCTCTCCACATGCGTTCTTAAAATGCATCGCCAGAAATATTCTGCAAAGAAATACAATAAATTCCCCCACCCAAAATGCTTCTTGATTAAATTATTTCATATTTGATTATTCATTAAACAAAAGAGACATTGGATAAACCGTGCAAGATGAAATAATACATTATTTAACACAATAAAATGCCAACAAAAGCAAGATGGTATTAAGAACTGAAAAAAAATCGGAGGGAAAAAAGATTCTTTTTGATATTTCTCAACTATTTACAAGAGGTTGCTATGGTATTTATAAAAGTACCACAAAACAAAGTAATTAACGCTATTATAACCCTTAACTACCAACTAATATTTACTACAAGAATGAAAAATATATCTACATATTTTAACAAGAACACTTTTAAAGCCATAAATATGATAAAATATAATACATTATCAAACTTAGCTCTCTATATACCAAAATCGTATGAGTTGCTTAGAGAAGAGAATAGGAAAAATACAGAATTGCTGAATTCAACAAAAACCTCCAAGTACAAGTGCACTCTTATTTTGTATGCTAGAAGAGTAGAAAGCTAAGTCAAGTAGTCACTCTAATTACCTAAAACCATCTAATCAATTCAGTTATTTACTAACTAATCCCACTTCAAATTATCACACTAACACAAATCACATTATCTCAGTCCCAATATCTCATTACTCGGAAATTAGAATAAGTATAATGTGGGTGTGTGTGGTGGGACCTTGAGGGAAATTACTTAATACAAGTGAAGAAATATCAGGACTCTAAAACAGTAAATTTTAAATATTAGTCCTGATGCAGCAGAACAAATGGATCAGTAATCTGCCTATTACCTAAAGAATCAAAGAAGGACCCCAAGTTTCCAGGCCGAGCAGGTCTAATGCTTGAAATATATTTCCTGAAAGTATCGAATAAAATGTCAATGTAAGATGGAATTATGTAATATCCAGTATTTCTCCCAAGCTAAAAATCAGTTAAGACATGAATTGAGATGAATTAAGAGTGTTAGAAATGCCCTAGAGTGAGTAAAAATAGCCGGGAAAAACATAAATATAAATAAGACTTTAATGGCTTTAGGACAAGTTAGGCCCTAAAGTTACTATTCATTGAAAATCCTAGGTGCTTTCTGGAGCAAATAGAGGGAATTTGAGAAGGAATCTCAAAAATCTGTTGGATTCTGTAAACAAAAAGAATCCAGATATATGAAGTTGTCTGGGCAGCTGAACAGGGTCCCTGGTCAATCCAGCAGGTATAAAAAAAACCCCTAAAAATAGGGTATAAATAGCAAAAAAAGGGGGATATGTCCACAGGGTCTAAATTGCAAAAAATAAGTCATTATAATGAAAAAAGAAAGTTCAGGGACTACACTGCAAATAAAGGATTTTTAGGCCATGTGACTACATAATCGCTTTATGAGGATGGAAACCCAGTCAAACAGCCATGAAAATGCGTGAAAAAGTTTTCCCCAATTATTTTCACCCAAATAGACTTAGCGGTGATGGTTGTTTCTCATGACTAGGTCCCAATCACTGGGAACCTAAGTTGGTGAAGGGACAAATAGTGAAATTTTTGTTGTGATAATTACAAAATGCCATTACATTGAGAATTGAACAGAAGATGGCAGCCGGGTAAAGAGTCCCTATGTTCATATTAAGGCTAAGAGAAGATGGTGGAAGATGGATACACAAAGTGAGCACATGAAATGAGAAATAGCACAACTAGGGCCGCTATAGTCAGTCAGGCTGGGTATAGTGCAGTCAGGGCAGGTACCTGATATGGTCAGAAGGAGATCATGATCAAAGGCTAGAAAAGGCCACAAGATGATGCGAAATAGCCAAATAAAAAGTACTAAGCAGAGGTTAGAGGATTACTAAGTTACATGACATAGTGCCAGTTAAGTTCAATGTCCGATGACAAAATGCTTGGAATGGTCAAAATAGCCAAATGACCATTCATAATCGTATTTGACATCACAATTTAAGAAAGGAAGAAGGGATTTTTCCAAGGGCAATTAGTTCAATAAAGAGAACTCTATAAAGTGATCCAATGGCAACGCCTTAAGTCCCTCAGTCCAAAACACGTTTTTCTGTAACGAGTCATGCAAATCTAGGCAAGGCACCAGATAGGTCAGGAATGACCAAAATGGTGTAATGACTAAAATGACATGATCGATAGCGGAAGAAGGCCGAAATGGACAAAAGAAAAAGAAGATAGAAGGGAATTGAGTCCAATAGAGTCGGAAATTTTTCCTATGTGCTAAGTAAAACTGTAGAAATATTTCAAGGCAATATTTAAGAAAATTAATTTAGGGGAAATGGTGTGGAAATCAAGAAGAAGCACAAAACTAGCCAATAGGAATTAAGGAGAAGGATATGTGTGTCTTGATTAAGCGTTAGATTTCAAAGTTGCAGATACAAGGGTTAGGAATTAACAAGCAATTAGCATGTGATTAAAAAAGCCAACCACCCCCTTAAAAAATTCAGCCAAGAGGAGAAAATAAGGAGAAAACACAAATTTTGCCAAACAAATGCAAGCACAAGGATTAAGGTTTAGAAAACAGAACCTCATCTTCCCCTCCTCTCTTCATTCTGGCTGCCACCACTTTTGGTGATGGGTGAGATTCTCTCAAATTAATTCTAGAGTTCAAGAGATGTTAAAAGGGAGAAAGCAAGTTCAAGGGATAAAATCTTCTATAAGTAGACTTCAAATACCAAAACTTCCTTCATCAAACAACTTCTCTTCAAGCTCCACTTCACCAATTTCCAGCGGCTAAGCACAAGCTCAACAGTCCCTTCTTGGTGGTGGAAGTCTTGGCCAAAGAACGAAGAAGAAGCTAGGAGTAAGGTATAAAGAAAATCTCCCTTGAATCTTGTGTTTAAGCAATTTAAGTTGATTTTTTCTTTTTGGGGCAAAAATGATCTTCAAGCAAAGGGTTTGATGATTATAAATGAATTATGGCTTGATTACTTGTTGATAAAGCTTGGTCATGAAGTGTTAGGAGTTGTAAGCTTGAAAGCCACATATTTTTGTAATTTTGGGAGCTCATTTTCCTACGGGGAGATGTTGCCAATTTGTTTACAAAATTAGTACTTGATTAGATTAGGACTTAACCATAAGAAATATGATTTTTACCAAAACCAAGAACCAAGGAGAAATACTAGAAATCAAGTTAGAACAAAATCTATTATTTTGGAGAAAAAGGGTATGTGTCTCGCCCAAGTGCAATTGAAGTAGAAGGAGTGAGTTTTTCAAAAATCCAACTTCATATTTGGATTCTTCATGGAAAAATAAGAGGGAAAAGGCTAAGAAATGAATTTTTGGAGTAGAAATACAAAAAACTCCAAAATCTCACCTAAAAGAGGAAGTAAGAAACAAAGTAAGGGGTAACGGAGCTTTTGTTCAAGCTTAATGACTCCATTAGCCCATGAATAACCTTGGCCACATATTATTATGCAATAGACTTTGATATTTGTGGTGGAGGAAGTCGTGGCCTTGAAGAAGCAAAGAAAAAGAAAGTTTCATTTTCTAGTGACCAAGGTAGCATTTTTACTATTTTTGAACTCATAATGTGATTGATTGTTGATGTGGTTTAAAAATAATTTATTTGCCTATTTTAGCAAAATGAAGTTATGTGATCATTCTTTGAGCATGCCTTGTCCATGTCCATGTCGATTGATTGATCATATGTTTTAAGAATGTAAGTGGCAATTATTTTGCAACTTGCAATGATTAACATGCTTCAGTGATTGTAATGATAATTATGATACTGAGATTTTCAAATCTCATTCCATCATTCTAACCATGTTTTTAGGACCAAGTCCAAGTGATTGGAAAATTTATATTATAACTATGAACAATATTTTGAGAACAAGTCTATCAACTTTCGATCACTATTTTGGATTACAAATGGATGGTGATGGAGCCGTTTTGATGATGCCCAATGAGTTAATTATGCATGTTGAATCATGTATTATAACATGTCAAGTATTATGGAAGTATGTTTTGTTTGATTGAGAAAGTATGCAAGTATTTATAATAATTTGAGTTGTAATATGCTAGGAAGGGTCCAAAGCCCATGGAAAAAAATTGAGACTTTGGCATAATCATAAATGATATAAGAATGTAAATTGAAGTCCTAGATTGTAATTTTCCAAGGAAGTAAGTAAACCAAGAGGAAACAAATTAAACATCAAATCTGAAAATTGTAAGAGTATAATCGGAAATTCATTCCAAAAATTTATTATGGACAAACTCTTTACTGTTCAAACCCACGAGCATTTTTCCCCTATAAAGGACCTCAAGAGCTTTAATTTGAAACTTGAATCACCCCGATTTTTCTAGAATTAGTTATGACTTTTCAAATTTGGTAAAAAAAAAAAAAAACATTTGAAAGTGCCAAACGAAGTGTTCTAAGGGTTATGTTTAGAAATTGAAATTTTGTAATTAGTTCGAGTTTTCCAATGCTCTTGTAAGGTCTCCACAGTGCCCTGTACTATATGACGTTGAAGTTGGGCCCTAAAAACAAAACCAAAAAGAAAGAAGGGAAAATCATCATTATAAGCATACCATCCAGTTAAGTTGTGCCGTCCATAATTCTTTATTGTATCCTCCAATTCAAGAGCTTCCCATACGTAAGTCAAGTATTCGCTGCAAATAAACTTTAGTTATGGCTCAAAAGAAATTCCAAGCGGCCATCCTTGTAGGGTCAAGACACATAGCCCTACAACTAATAACCACACTTTCACATAAATCTGGTCACTAGAAGATTGCACTGGTTTGGGACACAACTAGTGACAAGAACTTCATTTAATACATAGGTTTTATGGATGATGTCAGCGTTGAAATATTCTAGCAACAGGACAATTTCTTACAACAAATTGATCTCTTCAATGATCAGTAGGCAAGAACAGATCTATTACCTCACTCAATAACATTTTAGGAACAGTTGTTATTATTAATAGAAGCAAGGAAGTGAGGCTGAAACTTTTCTTGGTTCAGGTCAATTTTACAATAGAAATTTATGAGCCAGAGTAGCATTATTACCAGCGATGTAAAAGTCATTCGTTGACATAGAAGATAAAAATGATCTTTAAGAAGAAAATAACTAATTAAATAGGGTAATGAAACTTTTAATCTCTCAAGTCTAACTCGATTATCGATTTGGTTCCTTAAGTTTAATTTTTATCAATTTAGTCCCTTATATTTTCTTAAATTACCACGTTAGTCCTTCAAGTTTCGAAAAGATAAATCAACTCTCAAATTAATATAATGTGTAAAGTATGTGATGACTTAGAATGTATATGCAGCTACATGAGAACAAATTATCTCTTAAATCAATTTAATTTGTATCAATATAATACATTACGTTCCATTTTTTCTTTTGCTTTTTAAAACTTTTGAGTCTATTTTTCCCTATCTAAATAATTATACTTTTTTTCATTAATTTACATAGCTACCATCAATATTCCATTATTCATGTCAACAGATTTTAACAGTGTTAATTTTTTTTCAAACAACAAGGACCAAAACAATAAAAATTGAACTTGAGAGACTAAATCAATAACTAAGGCAAACTTGAGAGATTAAAAGTTGCATTATCCCCTTAAATAAATTGTTGGGCACACCATGTAAAAAACGTTATCATTCTTTCATCAATTTCACAAAGCCAATTATCATAACATGAAGAAGAAAGAAAATAAATATTGCTTCATTAGGCATTTATCCACATAAGAAGAACATAACCATTTGAAAAGGCCATAAAGGATTCAAGATAATGATAAATTTATACTGAGTGAATAAAAACAACCCGTAAAAGACTAGTTGATTATTTCCTTACCTTTTATACCTGTAGTAACCCTCCTGAGCTAACCTAAGACGACGCCTTAGGGTTGCCATTGACTTTTCATCAGCATCATAATCCATATCATTTTCTGCCAATCTGTCACCCTGTGGTTTGAAGGATGGGTCTTCCCTAAACTGGAAAATTGAAATTTATACCTTAATCATTACAAAGAAAATCTGGTTCCATAAACAAAATCTAGCTCTTTACCATTTGAATTATGAAATTATCAATAACATCCATATAAGGTCTCAAAGGATCACGCTTGGACATCTGATTGGATGTAGCTTGGGCAACCTATAAAATTTAACCAAAGTAAGGTATAGTTCATCCATATAAGGTCTCTGAGATATTTTTCTTTGGGTACATATAGATTGAAAACAAAGTAACAACATTCTCCCCTGCAACATAAACAAGTAGCACACATGCAATCCAGGGACATGAGGGCCACTTTCATCCATTTTCATCCACTTTCCCCTTCCAAACTTAACACTATACTAATTACAAAATGGCCCATGATAGTTCTAAATAGTTCATCAAAGCAGCTAAAAGTCTCTGAAAGTGAAATTTTCATAGAGATGGAAAAATCATCTAAAATTGAGTCTCCGTACTAGAGATTTAAAATTTTCTAGCACATATTCCCCTTAAAGACTAATCATTCCTTAATAAACAAAATTTATTTTCCATTACCTATGAACAATGATGCCTAGACAAGTGACAACTAATGTTCAGCATATAATTAGTTTTCAAACGCAAGTAGTAAATTTGAGTTGAGAGCTTCCACATGCAGAATGTGAAAGCAAAAGGGCAAAAATTATAAAAGAAATTTAGCTGACAACTATAGTAAATTACATACAACAATAGCATTTGAAAGTTCCTGGTAAGCATCATCAAGTTTGACAGTTATTTTCCCAATTTTATGGGAAAGAACTTTCAGGCGAGTGGTCCAGTTAGCATTTCTCCATATGCTTTTAGGAATTTCGCTTAAACCAAAGCCAAGAAGAAATGCACCAGTAACAAGTCCAAAAGTATTAGAGCAAGCCATGGCAAATCCCATAAGATTGCCACTCCTGTATATAAACATATAAGGGAAATTAAAAAAAAATAAAAAAGAAAGAAAGAGATGATTCATTTGAAACTGATATGAAAAACTCACACACAAATGAAAAGGGTATTAGACGTAATAATTTGTTGACCGCAATCACCAAGCAAAGAAATAGACAAGGAATTGCATAGAGAGAAGGCATTTATGAGCCCATCTTTTGGAAAGCCGTTCAAGCTTTGAATTCAGTATATAGGATAACTGCGGCCTACATATCCTAATATTAACCAGTAACTTTCCTTGATTGAACATATTGAAAAGCTGTAACTGTGATTTCTTACCATTGCTATTATTACAAATCTATTTGCTACCATGGTGTCAAACTTAGAATTCTATAAATGTGTATTTACAGAATATCAAATGTATATTTACAGAATATATATGCAATCAGACATGGGTTCCTGTCCATTGAATAGAGATTGAGAAATAAGCCACACTACTCATGGCTTATAATTAGTGTAGTTTCATATACATTATATATATATATATATATTGATGTGTTAGCATCTAGGGGCATAAACCATAATTGCCACTGAGGACACCAGATATCCGAATTTCTAAAACAGTTATTCCTGTAAATAACAAAGTTTAGAGTTATAGTTCCTGTACAAGGACAGAGAATCATCACTTTACAGACCTCCTCACTATCTTTTTCCACCATTTCTATATGGAAAATAGCTTTAACCACTGTTTTTTAAGCTATTATTAAAACGATGCACAAAGGCAAGTTGGTGTCTAAATTAGAGAAAGATCCTAAGAATATTTCTTAGCTTACATATAATTTTGCAAATGCAGAGCACTAACAGATGAGTTCTGTGTTACAGTGGAGGCCTCTAAAACAGTGGTGTGCAGAAACGTCATCATCCACAAGCACAAAAAATAAAAAAGATAGTTTTAGGTATGCCAAAATTCAGATGCTATCTAACATCAGTCATAACCAAGCATGGTGCTGGCAACTATGAGGAAAGCATGATGCTCTTCAAATGATGATCAACAGCTTTACCCAGAAACGATTGGAAAATTCCAGGCAGCAATAACTTAGAGCTAATATTGCAAAAACAAACAAACAAATAAAATCTGCACCCAAACAAATGAAGGTTCAAGGAATGAATACACACCAGGTCTTGTGCATCATAATGAGAAAAACTAGCCCAACAAGACCAACAGCACCAAGAAGTAAATAGAAGACCAAGTTGACATATAAACTAGTCTTCAATCTTTCTGATACAGTAAAGTCACCAGCATCTTCAAAACCCTCAATAAGGGGCACCACAGCCCTGCTTAGGATAACACAATTTAAATAGATGAGGAAATGCATCTGCAATCCGTTAGCATCAATTAAAAGTATCTCCATGCAACAATCACACCAAGTATGTCAGAGAAATATATAAGAACGCAAGTAACAAGGAAATTAGGCAAATTACCATGAAGGCACATATAGAAGGTCACCTCAATTTTGAAAATGTCCAACAAACAGCAATATAGCCTATAGTAGACAATAACATGCTCGACAGTACTTATTCCAAAACAGTTGAATTGACTGTGCTTCAACATAGGCTGATGAGAACATGCAAGAATGCTATGTGCCACTGTGTGCTGTTGAAAGTCAACATTTGACCACTTGAGTCAAAAACCATCCTGTTTAAACTCGACCTATTTTGGTGAGTTATGCACTGGTGGTTTATCATATAAGAATGGATTACTAGTAAGGAGGTCAGTTCACTGGTTTTTCATCCAGTCGTCCAATCCGGTACTCTCAACCATGACAAATAATAAACCAAACGAGCCAAAACCGTTGAACCATTAACCAACACATTAAGCTGAAATTCAGCCTTTAGCAGCTACATAATTTATTTTGCTGTCCACGTGTAGAAGAAGCGATAGTGATGCAAACATACAATGATAAAAAAGTAAGCATACCAAGTGAGCAAAAACGTACTCCAATATGACCAGCTCCAAAAGAAAGAAATACTTCCATTCTCATGGTGAGAAGAGATCGTCTGAAAGTATAAAAATTTAAAAAAAAAAATTACAGCTCATATCGCAAGAATTAAATCAAGCTTATGGTTTGAAGCCTCAAATTGCAGGATTTAAAAAAAAAAAAAAAAAAGCAGTAAACCGAAGAGAATTAGAGGGGGGAGGAAATCGTACCTCCCAGATGTCAGCAGGCACGAGGATGATAATGGAGAGGGAACAGAACCAGGCATATCCAACGGTGAAAAGTACATAACGAGGAACATGCGGACCGGAGAAATACCTGAGGGTGAAAAACACCATGCCAAGTGTCAGAGGAAGCGATATCATGTAAAACACCCACATCTCTTCCTCCGGAATCATCAGACGCAGTCGGAGAATCCAAGATGCTTAGAACACTAATTTTCAGGTAAAGATCCTTCAGACCCCGGAGCCACGGCAAATCAACCAGACATTCCTGGAGTCTGCACTGTTTTGATTCGCAACACAATCCCGCACCTGAAATGAAAAAATTTCAATGAAAATACCGCTAATTTGACCATGATATTCCAATAAAAAAAATTATTTATCAATATATTATACTTTTAAAAATATTTTTTAAATATTATAAACTTTAAAACTTGACTTCAATGAATTTTTTATTTTTTAAGTATCATAATATAAAACTTAACTTTTATCAAGTCAAATTTTAAACTTATATTTAAATAAAAAAATAAAAAGTTAATATGACATGACAAATTATGTCTATTATAATTTCATTTTAATATATAATTATGTTTTATAATTTATCTTTCTTTCTTCTTATATTATTAAAGTCGGTAATTCAAATCAAACTCAAAACGTAAATTTATTTCAAAAAAAATTTAGGATCGGGCTTAAAAAAAAAATAATTTTTTTATGTTTGTGACTATTAATCTAAATACCCAAATAAAAAATTTTATTTTTAAAATATATAAAATATAATTAAATATTATTTAATTTTTCAAGTTTTAGGTGTATAAAAAAATATATTTTATATTTTTCATAAAATAAAAAACATTATTAATTACACCCATAATTAAAAGTATTATTTTATTTCTATTTATAAATTATTTCTAATATTTTTATTAAAATCAAGAAAAATTTTCAAATCTCATTAATTTATAAAAAAATTTTATTCAGGTATTTGGGCTAATAGGTACAAATATTAAAAAAATATCTTTTTTTAAACTTGACTCTAAATTGTTTTGAGCGGGTCTAGGTTGACCTATCAAATTTTGCCTGCGTTATTCGCTTTAGCAACAAAAAAAAAGAAAAAAAAAATTATAAAATATACCACACATGTCACATCAAATTTTTATTTTTTATTTAAATATAAGTATTGAATTTGGCTTGATAGAAGCCACGTTCTATACTTTAAAAAGAAAAAAATTCGTGCAGTACTATTGCACATAAAAAAAATTAAAACTTGATACCATTGAACCTAAGTTTTAAAATTTATTCACTAGATCACAATTAAATTAATACATCTTTAATTCACACATTAAAATAATATATAAGAAATAAAAAAAAATTCAATGCTCAATTTTCGAATTGAAGGAAGCCAACATCAATCCATAAATCACAAAATGAGCTCATTAACCGAGGCCAGACAATTATTTTATTATTTATAAGCTCCAAAGTTTGAAGCATAATGAGTTCGTCAATGGTTATCAGGAATAAGCGCAGAGAAGTTCATATTGGAATATGAACTCAACATACTATTTATTAGCATCACAAAAACCCCATTGAAATGAACAAACAGAAACAAAGAAATTCAAGGCTTGGGAGGATGATTCTAAACTCAAGTTTTTTAGGAACTCAAACACGCTTCGGTATTTGGTTGCTTGCACGCACAATGCTCAAAAGAACAAAAAATTCTCAACTAAGATGGAACAAACTGCTCCCAAACTCGTTCGGGTTGATTTCCAGAAAGCGTAAACCAACCTTTCAGAAAGTTCAAAGCCAAAGCGAGCATATATCATGGAATGGAGAATGGATAGTTCCAAAACAAAAAAGCCAAAGTTTTACCGCCCGAATTATGAAGATCCATGAACTCAGAAAACAGAAAACCTTCACTGGGCTTAAAACAATGACGATGAGAGAGAAGCTTGAAAGGGAGGAGGAGACAAGAGATCGGGATCAGAGGAGACCAAAACGAACAGACTGAAATAAGGCAGAGGCGGCGGCGGCCTTGCAAGGTTGGAAGAGACAGAAAACCGGTGACGGACGACGCCCTCGGCTCCCGGCGGCCAAGGCTCCCTTGGCTCTCGTAGTTTCGTGCTAAAACTTAAAATAATAATGGGACAATAATAATAAAATTTATTAAATTATATAAATAATAAACTGAACCTTTAAAATATCATAATATTTTGAAAAATTTTATATTATAAATTTTAAATTAAAAATTTTATTTTTAATAAATTATAATTTTTTATTCAATTTTTATAATTTTTTAAATAAAAATAATTATTTTTATATAAAAATTATAATTGAAGTTTGTTATTTTAAAAATTTATTTGTTAATAAAAAAATTATATTTGATATGTTATAATTTTTTATTCATCTTTTATAAATTTATAAATATAATTTATTATTTTTTGAATAAAAATTATACTTGATAAATTAAAATTTTTTATTCAATTTTTATAATTTATAAAATAAAAATTATTATTTTTTAAATAGAAATTGTTATTGAAATTTGTGATTTTCAATTAAGAGAAAATATTTTTTTTATTTTTAAATTTGTTGAGATATAAATTTTAAAAGACTTCAATAAAATTATAATATTTTAAATAATTAAATTATTAATTATATAATTTGAAAAAATTTTATTATTATTTTTTTAATAATAATTAAAAAAGAACATTAATAATTGAGAAAATTGCTGATATCCTTGAGAAACAAATTGTACTGAGGATCAAATTAATTTTAAAGGTCAATATTCAAAAAACCCTCTAATGAAATGACCGAGTTGCCCCTCTTCTCAGCGCACAACATCCATAATCGGAGAACCACCAGATAGACAAGGCAACAGCCAAACAAGGGAAAGTTGAGTATAGTTGTGACAGACGGTGTCGACGGAGGAACAGTCAGTGGTGTAAGTGAAGACTTGGTCAAGAATATGGGTCTCGGATCGTATTGCATCGCTGAATGGTATTTTCTATTTGTATATTTAATTTCTCATTGTTCTATGGGACCATCTGCATATTAGTAAGCTAATTTAGGGTTTCATTTGTTGGCGCATTCGTTAGTTTTCTTTTGCATTAGAAATTACAGCGAGTCTTCAGCGATTGTTGTTCAAGGCTGTTGCTAAATTGTGCTGTGCTTCAGTAATTGGGAGGGACTGTGTGCTAAAATTTGTTTTGGGAATGGCTGCGTCGAAGTAACGATCTTTTCTTCTTCTGCCTTCCTTAAAGCGATCCTATTATGGCTCTTTTGTTTAAAATATAAAATATTTTTAATTATAATTTAAATATTAATAAAATTTAATTATATCTTTGTTTTCAATTAAAAATATCATAAGTTTTTCTTTTCATCCTTTTCGCTATCAATAAGAAATTAAATGAGAGATATAATATTTTTTAAAGAAGAATTATAATATGAAAAAGCATAGTCATTCTTGTAGACTAATAAAGTTTTATTTATTATGAAGAGTGAGAAAAACATCATAAATACTATATAACAAACCAAGTTAATAAATATAAGGGTAAAATAGGAAAAAACTTTCAAAACTTACCGGATGTCTTATATTTTAAATCAAAATGAGTTGAAAAAAAATATTTTATAATTTAAATTGAAGAGAATACTTAATATGCTCTCTTTTCTTTTGTCTGTAAATCAACAGGCATTCATCTTTTGCTCTAGTGAATCAAAAGGAATTGATTGAGATTTTTCTTCTTTTCTTGAGCAAACTATTGCTTTACTTTTATTTTTTGTTAAATTTATTGTCAACTTATGATGCCCATATTGAGATGTTTAGAAAAACTCCATATATTGAAGTTATTAGGGGAATTGATTCGACGAGTTGTAATTTTTTTAATCAAGACTTTGTTCTCAAAGTTCTGGTTTTGGCAAATGAAAAGATGTGTTATGGCTATTTTGCAAAATTTTGATTTTTTATGATGCTTTTTTGAGTAGAAAGAAAAAAATCACTTTCCTTCTAAGTTCATTGCTATTGAGCTTTAATGCAACACTTTTAATACGTTTTTGGAAATTAAAAATACGGATGCTGCCTTTAGATTAGGGAGAATGACAAGTAAAAATCTTGTAAAAAAATTAACATCAAATTAATAATTTTAATATCGAAACATGAAAGAAAGAGTATTGAATTTGATAATGCCAATGTTAAAAAATTCTAATTTGATATTAATATTTTTATAAGATTCTTACTTGTCATTCTCCTTTTAGATTTAATATTCGGCCCTTTTCTTAAAAAAATTTGTCTTCTAACTCTATCTATACTATGAGATATGTGATCACTGTGAGATGTGCTTTTGTTCTACAGTAAACTCATTCTATGGAGTAGTTGGAAAAGGATACTCACAATGTGAAGGTTCAAGGTAATGACCCCCAAGGGAGGACACTTGGGGCAGGTAATAAGGTTTGAAGGATCAAGGTGAGGACAGTATTGATGCTCGCATTTTACAAGTTGCACATGCTGTTCAATCGAAGAATGCTAAGGATCAAATCTTGCCAAATGTTGTCAATGAAAGTGTTGGTGATTTGGATGTAAAGGAAGACAGTACTAGCTTATGATTTGGTTTTTTTTTTTAAGTCTCTGAATGAATAGGTATTATCAACTTATGTTATTTGTGTTTGCCTTTTTGGGAACATTTGTGGTGGAGTTCTAATTGCTTGACAATGTAGTCAACTTCTCAATATCATCATTATCTCACTTTTAATGTATGTTACTAATCATTAACAGAAAAATTTGGACACTTCACTAAAACCCATTAGTTTGAACTCAAGATAGCCTAATAGTTTTCTAAGCCCTACACTAAGCCCCATATAGAGTCCAATGGACTTAAAAAGTTATCTAAACTCTCTAACTAACCTCTAGTTAACTTAAATAATTAATTAAACTTTTTCATTAATTAATCTAATCTTTAAATTAAATTTTTGAGATGTTACAACCAGGTCATAGGCCATCATCATTAAATAATGTTCAATAGAAGTTGATGCATTTCTTTAAGTTTGGACTTTGTTGTTTTCATATTTCACTTGTATTTCAAATTGATGGGATTTTGTTGATATTTTGTTGTATGCTCTATGATTGAGGACCAAAGCACCTGTTAAGATGAAAGGATTTTTTAGTCCCATTTTATTACATATTTAATGTCATAACTTATTGCTAAAGATATTTAAATATATTTTTTAAGCATGCAATTGGGAGAAAATTTATCTTTTTGATAATGCATGTATAGTTTCTAATTGGTCTTCATGCTGGGAAAAAAAATTGGTCTTGACTCTTGATGGTGCAATTGGGTGAAGATTAATTCTTTTGTAATTATATAGTTAATTATATATATTAATTATATAATTATGATTACAATTATATATTTTTGGATGAAACGAAATGATTTATATTTATATATTGTCATTATAATTTAGCTCACATTATGTTTTTATGATTATTTTTAAAAATTCACTTTTGTATTTTATTTACTATTCATAAAAGATTGGGAGAATTTGATAAGATAAGAGTATAGTTGTCCATATATAATTATTTTTTTCTTCTTACTCCTCCCATCTTAAACCAAATAAAGTAATATTAAATATTAAAATTCCTCCCTTCCTCCCACACTAAATAGAATGCCTATTTTTTTTAAAATTTATTCTTTATTCTATTTTTTATTTTACGTTACATCCTAAGAAATAAAAATGCGCTGACATCTAATATGTCCCTGCCCAGGTGTCTATGTTATTATTTTGATTATGACTACGATCCTCTTATTAGAGGTTGTACGTGCCAGGTGTAATGTTAATTTTTTGAATTTAAATCCTCTGAAGTTGATATTTATAAATTTCTATAAAGATTACCTTTTAAGAAAGAAAGGAAAGATTTATATTTTATAAAAAATAATAAAATGAGAAAAAAAATATTTAAAAAAGGAAAAATTTATAGAGATTCACATATATCAATTTTTGAAGATTTAAATCCAATTTTTTTTATTTTATATAGGTATTCTTTTATGAGAAGCAATCATATTTGAGATAGGGTTGTGTATGACATCCATCTCAATAAAATTTAAATATTAATTTGTCATGTTATGAAAGACAATACATTTTTGCTAAATCCAATGAGTACGGTTATGTTTGGATATAAACTTAAAAGATATTTAAAATTAATTCAAACTAATTACGTCAAACTAAACCAAACCAAATTAATATAAACTATTCAAAATCAATTATAAATGAGATTTGGTTTGATTTTTCTATTGACAAAATCAATTAGTTTGGTTTGGTTCGGTTCGATTCAGGTTTTTGCTTTTGAAGACCAAGCTTTATTATATTTATTATATATATTTTTATAAATTTTTTTAAGTTTTTTTTAATCTTTCCTAAGTTCAATTATTTGTAAACCATTAATAAAAATATGTTACAATTAGCTTCAATATTATCGATAATTATTTATGATAATTTTTTTAATTTTACAATCAAGTGTTTTAAATATAATAGATTGATTTTTAATAGATAAAAATATTATTTTCTGCTAAAGCAATTTTTTCATTGCAAATAGTAATTAATAGTTAAAAACTATAAGTGAATATGAATATATGAGTTCGAATATGTGGAAAATATTTCATAAAAAATTTCAAAATTAATCAATACCAAAACCAAATTGATCAAAAAAAAAAACTAAATAGGTCCCAAACTCCAGTGAACCAATTAGTTTAGTTTAGTTTAGTTTTTCCTTAAAACTAAAACAAACCGAACCCATAAACACCCTAAATCTTAATTGACGTTTTGGCCCTCAAACCTTGATTGGACGTGTAACATCCTAATTTTTAAGTTAGAAATTAATTGAGAAAATAAAAGTATTTAAGTATTTAATTGAGTTTGAGGACTTAATTAAGGGAATATGTATTTTGAGGATTTAATTTAGAATTTTGTGAGTTTGAGGTGTTAATTGAAGAATCATGTATAAAACTGGGCCTAGGAACATGAATGAGGTGTTAATTGAGTTTTATCAAAGTTAATTAATCGTTTAAGCACTTTATTATGATTAAATTTTAGCCTAGTGATGTGTATGATATTTGTTTGTGATCCAAATCAAGTTTTAGGCTAGATCTAGGCCCAAAATATTGGGCTTAAATAAGAATTTGTGAACTATACTATTCGTTGTGGTGAAAGAGTTATTTGTCATAGTGAAAATGGGGTTCGCCATGGTGAACAGCAAAAAATTTTTAAATTTCATATCTATCTCAAAAAATAAAAATAGAGGGAGATTTTGAGAGTTTGGGATGCAAAAACCTTGTGCTTTACTAAGTTTTCATGTCTCCTATTGTTTAGGCTTCATTTTGAGCCTCCAATCACTAAGGCAAGTGTAAAATTGACTAGATTGCTCTACTAACTTAACAATAATGCCATAGTAGAAAAAGGAAAAGACCTATACATTGAAGGTCTATCATAGTTATTAGAATTAAACTTATAATTTTTGTTGCTTAATATAAATAATTGTAAATAGACCCTACCATGGTAGAAATTATTAGAACCATTAATAAACACCAATATACTAGAAAAGATTGAAGATCATAATTGATAAAGTATAACCTTTCAAAATCTTTGGGATCCGAAGTTAAAAATTCAATTTAACACATTTCAAGGCCTAAACATATACAAATTAGAGTTTAAAAAGCATATGGAAGCCTAGGATACCCTTTAGTTTGAAACCAATATGAAAAAGGGTCTAAAATTTCATTTCCCCCTTATTTAGAAGCATCTACTACAACATGCTACTTTGCATTGCTCTGTGATCTCCTCTATGCCATGTATCGTGGCACACTGCATAAAATTTAATAATATAATTGCTGTCACAACACAGCTCTGGGGGAGAACTAATGACATGCCCCAAGCTTTCGTTTGACATCCAATTGAGGTAATCTAAGTATCCACATAAAACTTATTCCAAGAACTAGCTACATATCAAAAAGTTAGACATCCAAAACCAAAATCACTCCTTTTTCACACTTAAATACTTTCAAGGTGTCCAAAACCTCAACCAAGTATCAAAAGTTCACACAACCACCTAAACAAAAGTCAAGGACTTAGGACAATTTGCACAATATACCACAAGACAAATATTCAACACAACTCAATTTTACTCCTCAACCCCGATTCCAACAAAAATTAAGGGAGAGGCATAGCAACATAAGATCATTTATTAATCTCTTTACATCAATTGAAATAATCATCAACATACTTGCGCTAATATTTAGGCCCTAAATAGACATTAACAGCACATACAGCAAGGCTAGGGTGCTAAATACAACTAATCACCATAAATAAAGTGCAATAGTGCAACAAAAGAATTGTCCTAGTTGGCAATTAAGCCTACAATAAGAATGTGAATTCTTAAGCCTTTAGAGTCTTTTCCCTATCCTTCCTAAAGTTAGTACCAGTAAAGTGTTAAATAAGAGTGAATCTAACTAATCAGTAATCAAGAAAAACTCTAAATCATACACATGCAAATAAAATTAATTAAGGCAAGAAAAGTGGGCATAAAAATTCATTCAAATATGCAGCACAATATCACATCACATGATACCGATGCATGATCAAACTACTCCTTATATACTCCATATGCTACCAATAGAATCCAAGAATTGACAATTCAATAGGACTAAATGTAATATCCTGAAATTTTAAGACTTGGATTTATTTTAAAAAAATAAAATAAAATATTTATAATTAAATTAAAATTAAGAATAATTTGATAGAGATCCAGAGTTTAAATTTTTCTAAGCAAAAATTAAGTTTTATTTTATTTTTAAATATGAAAAAAATTATCAAAGTTGACCCGGGCTTTTGTACTATAATAAAAAATGTTGGGTCCTTTCTTATAATTTTCTCCAAATTTTTATATCAACATTTTAAAGGGAAAACAGATGCAGAATGCAGAAATGAAACAAGGAAAAGAAAGGAAACGCACGAGAAGGAGAGAGGAAGAAGAGAAAAGAAGGAGAGGAAATTAGGATTGGATCTTGGAGGCTTTACGACCATTGCGAGCTCGGCTACACGATAGGTAAACTTCCTACTTCAATCCTCTTTCCTCTCTCTTGATTTTCTTCAATTTTTGGAAGAGAGAATTTCTGAATTTTGATCCCAAAGGCTTTATTCTTGTAAGCTTTAGTTTCTTTGGGTCCTTGGGAGATTGTTTTGAGTTTTTATATGATGTTCTAATGTTTTGAGTGGATAATTGGATGAAAAAAGGTGTTTTGGGTACAAATCAAACCTCAAGAGGTTGGGTTTTGCTCTTCAATAATTTAAGTCTATTAATTTAGTTATAATTTTACTATTTAAGCCTAATAAGATTTAAATTAAGGTTTGGTTTTCATTATAAGGGCTAATGATGAAAGTTGGTGACACTATGTGAAGGTTTTTAATTGATTAAAAATTATATAAATTGGAAATTAGCCTAGTGTTGGCTAATAAATGGTTTTGGTGGTTAAATGATACTATATGAATGGTTGATTTAATATATGAACCATTATGATGGATTATGACTTATTAACTCAAGTTGTGTGGTATGAGTTATAGTCTTCATTAATGCTATTTATCATTATAAGTAATGTGGATCACTTATATGTTATCGAGAATTGTTAGTGGAACTTATTGAGAAGTGAAGGAACAAGACAAGTCCTATTTTATATAAAAGG